CCGTACCTTTGATGAATCTCGTACAGGCCTTTCACTTCACCTGGTACTGCCACTGCCAGGCCACCTGGGAACACACATAACCAAGTCTGTATTCATACCTGTTCGTGTGTGGAACCGATGCGGTGTAGTGTTTAGACGCTCTCCTGCGGATCCTAAGATCGTGGGTTCAAGTCCTGACTGAGCTGGCCTCCTCCCTCCCCCGGCTGACCCAGCTTTTAAAAGATACAAGGTAAAGTCCTGGGAAGTAAAGGCGACTCTCATCATGTTGACCACATCATCCATCTAGTGGTGATCGTTCTAAAAGGTTAAGTATGCCATGCCCAATGCGTTTGAAAGCGTAGAAAGATAAGGGTCCTTTACTTTGTATGTGTGTAAAAGAGAGAGAGAGGAGAGAAAGAGGGAGGGAAAGAGAGAGAGAGACACAGAGAGGTGGGGATGGAAAGAGAAGGCCAACCAGAGAGATGAATTGAGACGGGCAATATCTGCAGCAATGAACCTCAAGGGCTCGGAAGGCTGAAAAAGAAAATTATTATTATTATTATTATGTACTTGACTTGCAGAACAGGTGTGTTTATGATACAGTGAAATACGCCAAAGTTGTTATGTCCTCAAATACATAAATATCGTCAGTTTAGTATTTGAAATAATACAAGAGACATAAACAAATACGGGAAAAGAGAATTTCTACGACAATTAGTCCTGTTAAACATTTTCTACATGTTTCTACACACGGGACAGCCTAAAACACAATATTTTAGGGATTGTGGCGGTGGGGTGGGGGAGGGGGAGGGGGTGTGGTCACGGGTCTTAAGTCCCCCAGGTTCTGTCACTTTTGATTCCAAACACTCGACCCTCTGGTGGGAAAGTCCGTGGAATATAATAGGCTTTTGCCTCTCACACGAAGTAAAGGACTCACCGTACAGTGATTTGTTCCGGTTCTCAGGCAGAGAGAACATGTGCTCTGATGCTCCTCCGGGAGCAGTCTCTCTACTGTCCACTGCATGCCATGTTTTGTTCCTGTGACAAGCAAGTGATTATCTGTTTCAGAAATTAAAACAATGTTTTCCCTTTTGTGAATTTAAATAATGCTTACACAAACAATACATTGCAATGTTTAATGCCTTGGATCCCTGTATAGGTTTTGGAGCCCCATGGGGGGGGGGGGGGGTGGGGGGAACGGGGGGTGAAAATTGGAGGGGTGAAAAGGGGGGGGGGGGTGAAAAAGGGGGGGGGGGGGGGACAAAAACAGATTAGTTAAAGTAATCCCAATGTGGGATGCCATTTATTTTGTTATTTAAAGCCCCACCCTGGCTTCTACCGGGCGCCCTGAATATTTCCGGGGCATAGATATGACCTAGCCATAGATATGGTCTAACGTCTGAAAGGGGTTTCTGGGACCTCTCCACGGGTGATCCTCATCCGCAAAGTGACATTTGTGGCTCCTGGTTTTTATCGCTTGTGTGATATCCTGGTGGGGTACAACCGCCTACCTACCTACCTACCAACCAACCAACCAACCTACCTACCTACCTACCTACCTACCTACCTACCTACCTATCTACCTACCTACCTACCTACCTACCTACCTACCTACCAACCAACAAAAAGAGAGCCACTTCTACCCCTCCCCAACAAGCTTCCTGTGAAAGGCGACTGATTACGGGCCCTTTCTTGACAGATGAGTACAATTAATTGCCTGAGGCAACGAACCAACAGTCTGCATTAAAAAAAAAAAAATATAGACCAGCAAAACGAACGTGCATTCAAAACTCAAGTTGTGAATTAAAAAAATAAAACGACTAACGTCCAGAAGTGAATGAACAAACAGAATTTTGTGTCTGACTTTACAGTCGCCGGTTAACCGTTAATCCCCACATTTTGGGATTGAGAGTGGGGGGGGGGGGGTGTGAATAGACACAAGGCTTCCCTAACGAGCATATCGTAGGAGGTGACTAATTTGGGGGTGGGAGGAGGGGTGTGTTTCATTCAAAATCGAAGTGCATCTGCCTACGATGCGAGGAACTATACAAAAAAAGCTAGACATTTAAAACAGTTGTGTATGCAAAACTCACGTTCTGGAGTAAAAGAAAGTCGAGAAAGGGATGAACAACCCTTACCCCCACCCCCACCCTAACCCCCCCCCCCCCCCCCCCCCCCCCCCACGTTTGCAGCCACTGAACACTAAGAAAAAAAAAAGAATCCGATCGTGCAACCTCTCTGGGCCTAGAAGTAGGAAAAAAATCTGCCAGACTGGAGCGACTTATTCAGCCCCTCTGAGAAACAAAATGGTGAATGATTTATATCCTCTTTTAATGTCTTCTTTTATTCCCACATTATATCTCAGTGAAGTGTTGGGGGAGATGTAACGTTCGTTGATGAGCTCTGTCAAGAGCACTATTACGATTGATGTTTATTTCTGTAAGGCTGTTCTTTGTACCATCGCTCCATCTTTTACTATGTCTCACCCACCCCCCCCCCCCCCACACTATACCCGTTGTAA